TAATGCGGGAAATTGGAGGCCATTAGGCCTCTCTTTGTTGTCGATGCCTCCGTGTGGCTAGTTAGACTCTTGGAAAAAGGAAAAGGCCTTTGTAGCCCCCACATGAAGCCGTAGTGAATATACGGGCCATTTAGCTCAGCGTGGGGCAGGCGGGACCTGCTGCTGGAGGCGGCTGCACAATCGTGAGACGGCGTGCACGCCGGAGAAATGTACATCTGACACGGTGTTAATGTGTCAATGGTTTTAAAAGAACTCAAGTGAGTTCAATGTGTTTGTAGATATTTACAGGCTGGTGGGACATTAGGGAAATGGGGTATAAATTACTTCAGCGTGAGCTGGTGTGCAGAGTTAAAACCAATGAATCCCATGTATTTTAAGCTATTTCCTCCCTCATTCAAACCCAAATATGAGACGTGACATTTTCAAGTCTGTTTTACTTTTTTAGATTGAAAGCTTTTATGTGTGTCAATGTCCAGAATAAAAAGAAAAATTTACAGATTTTCATACATGGACAGAAAGTCTTGTGTCAGTCAACACTTGCTAACACACTCTTGCAGTGACAGGAAATCATTGATACAGGGATTCTTATGGAAACGGCATTTTCTAGAACACCTTTTTCTTAAACAACAGTAATGAGCGCAGACTAATAGAGAAAAATCAACTTTTTTTTCAGTCTTCTGCACTTTGTGGAAAAACCTAAAAACCTAAAGCATTCATGCATTGCGTTTTGCAGGTGCAGGATGATTGTTCTCGTGCTTTGAATGAAAGCTGCATATAGATGTGGATTTGTGCCGTGCTCTGCTGGTGTTTACTCTGCCGTCTGCTGTAAATCTGTTGCTTATCATCAACCTTCGCTCCGCTGCTAATAGCTTCATGAGGGATCTCTGCTCGCACAGAGGCGAGGCGGTTCTCACAGCTTTTTAATAAATCAGACACATTTTATCACCCGCTGTCGGCACATGCAACCGCAGACTCTTGCCTGCACTGGGAGTTGCATAAATTGATCAAATATGAGAAAACATTTCAGTGTTAAATTATGAAATAAAGAAACAGGAAATAGATAAAACCGCTCGACTTTGATTGCTTTTAAAAAAGGTCAGACGAGCGCGTAGAGGCGGCCTGACGGCCAATGGAACCTGTCCAATGGAAATCAGTCCTCGCCGCATGTTTAATCTGCCTTTGATAACCCTGCAGGACCGATGAATATTCTGTGTGACTTGATCTCAATTAGCAGAGTCGGCCTTGGATTTGACCAAGAATCGGGACGATCTCCCTCCCCGCCCCCGACCACCTCTTCTTTTTACCAGCTTCCTTTTCGTCTGTCTCTCATCCTTGCTACGGCATCTGTGGCAAACTGCTTGTTTTAAAAAAGAAGAGGAAGAAAAAACGCGGCAGCGGCTTCTTTGGGAGCGGCGGCTGAGATCCAGAGTTTAGCCAGGGTCATTAGAGAGCGTGAAGAGGGCCGGAGCGCTGCCGCTAATTGGTTGCAATAAAGGAATTAAATTAGCCAGATATAATCCCTGCAGCGGGCGCCTCATCCTCCTCTGGCCTTCTTCCCACTCGCTCTTGCTCTATTGCCCCGTATAGTTTCACCGCATTCCCAGGGTGCTCACCAAAACAAACTGAGCGCCATTGACCTTAACACACACACACACACACACACACACACACACGTGCTCCACAACACCAGCTTAATCTCACTCCCACACTTTCTTTTTCTTGTGTTGTGCTCTTTTTTCAGTAACAAAAATGAAATTGTTGACTCACTGTTCATGGAATGTGAAAGGGTTACTTTGTGAAAGGTGCTTTTGACCTTTCAGCTTCCTGTTTTTGCATTTATACTTATAATATACTTAATATACTTATACTTAGAATATTGCCTGATCAAAAAGTACTTTGTTTGTTTATGACAGTTTGTTTTACTATTTCGACTAATTCCAAAAGAAAAAATCGGTGGAGCTCCTTGCAGCATGTTTGTTTTTTATTTATGGGTTTTATTATCTCCAAGTTACAATATATATATACTTTAATGACAAAGTTATTTTTCTTCCTTAGATTAAATACAAGTAATATGTCCTGAAAACACCATTTCTGAAATCGGAGCTCAATGCAGATTGAATCAAAAGATTTCTCGAGGTGATAATAAATAACATTCATATAGAACCATGATTGTCTCTAAAGAGAACAAAATACACTGATGTGAAACATATCTTAATAGAGTTTTTGTTAAATATGTATACATACACACATATATCAATTATAACTTCACTTATAGAGGATTGTTTATATTTGCCACCTTGTAATGGAGTATTTTATACACGTTTGCTTTTAATGGAGTGTTTTCTGATACTTGTGGTGGGGTATTTTTACACACATTTACTTGTAGTGGAGCCTTTGTTATACATATAACTTTACCTATAGTATTTTTACACATCATGTCTTGAGTTGCTTTAAAATCATTTCAGTCAGACTTATTTAAGAAACCTTAAAGCTCTAAGCCCTATGAATCCAGTTTGGCACTTTGTGTGGGTCTGTCCGTGTGTGTGTGTGTGTGTGTGTGTGCCGGAGTGGGGGGGTAGAAGAAATGTACAGCCTGCCATGATTTAATTTAATGCACCATACAGTTTAGGGGGGTATCAAGCTGTTTCTGATATTTTGGGGCACAGTTCATGAAAACATTTGCAAAAATAAGTCATAGTGAATATATACTAATTTAAACCTTCGCTTCAAGGTTGCTTTGTTTTTTTCAATTTTCTCTCAACGGGGTTTTTGAAGTTAATCAGATTACTTTTGGGGGGCGCCCGTGGACTGAGAGTAAACTGTCCATGTGTGGACTCCTCTTGGTGTTTCCTCTAAAGCAGAAAGCAGAGCAGAGCCCCCGTCTGGTCCCCCCGATGGTGTTGGGCTTTGGGCTTTTCTCCCCCGGCCGGGGACAATCTTATTCAGATCCTGTGACCGGCTCCGAAAAATTGATTTGATTGGTCGAGAATGTCTCACGTGGGACATAGAAACATACACCGAGTGTTTCTTGTCTGGAGCAGCCAGAAGAAGCCTGTGGATTTAGGGCAAAAGTGGCAGAGATCAGTTGCTCAAGTGTCTCTTTTCCAACAAACCGAGGCCGCGAGCGACGTCACTCAATTAGCCGGCTTATCGCAAGAACGACGGGCTTAACCTCGACCCCCTCCTTCTCCCCCCCGCTCCGCCGCGTGAATGTTTCCTCTCTAATTAGCCGAGGGGAAGGCCGAGGTCAGCTGATGGATGCTGGGAACCGACTTAAAGACACTAATTGGCCAACTTTTCCCAAAACACGCTCAAGACGCAGCTTTTGGGGGAGGGGTGAAGCAGAGGGGGGGGGGGGGTTCTACGACACGCAGGGGGAACCGCAGCTCTCGATAAACACGTCAGTTTCCTGTCGAATGCTGCAGTGGGAGGTCAAAACAGCTGTGAGCGTCCCGTGCGTTGGATAGAGAGCCGTGGTGCACATTACAGGAGGTGTTGTCTGGGTGAGCTTAGCGATATCCATCTAATTGAATTACTCTTGTTTTAAAAGGTATCTTTTCACACTTCTTTTAACTGCTCACCTGGGGGCCGGGGGGCAACTAACTGATCCAGCATGAAGCAGTTAACCTGATTGAAAACAGACACGACGTTTGAAGGTGTCCTTTTTTTTAAAAGGTAAATGTGGTCGTTGTCAGAATGATTTTTCAAAAAAAAGTACAAGCACATTCTAGTATACTAACTATGACAATAGGAATATTATATTTAATGGTAATAAGCGCATATTTTTCTAGTATTTTCTCTTCAACAACACAGATGAAATGTTAAACGACAGGAGGTAAATTGTTTTTAAGTACACCTGGCACACACATGCGTGTGTAGGTGTGTGTGTCTGTCTGTGTGTCGATGTGTCATTTGTTCGCTGTGAAGGTGTGTGAGCTGATTGCTTTGCTGAAATAAACTACAGCTCAGCCTTTGTCTTCTGTGAAGGGCAGACACCCGCATGTTTGTAAGGAGCAGTGTGAGGAGTGCTGTGTGCTGTGTGTAGGTGTTTGTGTGTGTGTTGTGTGCAGCAAAGCTGATATCACAGTGGTCCTCTCCAGAAAAGATATGCAGGTATTCAAGCGCTTTAAGAGAAAAAAGGGTATAAACGCAGTTAGGAGAGCTTTAAGGACAACGGGAGCAAAGAGGATCATTTTAACGAGTCTGTCGAATCGAGATGCCATCAGCCAAAAGTCTTGTTTTATTTCTTGCAGGCCGGTCATCACACACTGAGGGCAGAAGCAGGCAAGCAGAGAAAGACCACTAATTAAACCCCAAGTGTTGCTGTTGATGATGTATGTCTTCAGTGGTGCGGGCGGGGGGGGGGGACCTTAATGGCGTCGAGCATGTCGGCCTCGCTCTCGCTGCCAGAGAGCCATGAATAAACATCGATCGGCTAATTAAACCTACCGGACTCGTCGATAAACAAGCGGGCGGCGAGGGGGGTCTCACGCGATGCCAGGCCTCCAGACTCTGGAGAGCAGGCGAGGAGAAGAGCTCGAGGAATATTTGAGAGGAGAGGTGGGAAAAATGAGTGCCGAAGGGTTTATGGTGAAATAAAGAACAGCAAAGTGAGCTCTGCTTCCTGGTGAATTCTGAGTTACCATAACCGCGTCTTCACTCACGGTGAATAAACTTTAAAAAGGTGCAAGTATGAAAGTGAACTGATTCTCACTTACAAGGTCAGGGTGTTTTTACTGGCATAAAGGTATTGCTTTTCATTAATGTCAAAGAGTTTACAGTAGGAAAACGGGCAATATGGAAGAAGTGGATACAGCGCACGTCACACATTCAGCTCCGGCTTTCGGGACCAAACACAATGACATCAAATCAAAAACAGCCCCCGACACTGCTCATCACATGCTTTATTTAATAAATAATTCACACAAACTTGTGAGCGGCTGTTGCACTTCAACAGCTGCGTGTCAACAACTCTGCGTGCCGTTTCCTTCCCTCTGCAGCCTGCAACTGTAACCTCCACGCCCGGAGGTGCCGCTTCAACATGGAGCTGTACAAGCTGTCGGGGAGGAAGAGCGGCGGCGTCTGCCTCAACTGTCGCCACAACACTGCGGGACGCCACTGCCACTACTGCAAGGAGGGCTACTACAGAGACCTGTCCAAGCCCATCTCACACAGGAAGGCCTGCAAAGGTACAAAGCTTTTCTTGAATTAACGCTTCACTCTTTGTTACATCCAAAACCTTTTACTGAGACATGCATAGCAGGCCCGAGATCGTTTGGGGTCTGGTAGGAAACCGTTCTAGATGGATTACAGGAAGTGTGTGTGTCTGTGTGTGGGGGGGAGGGGGGAGGAAGGGGGGCATGCAGTCTTCTCATTCCTCAGCCTGTCTCGCCCTCATCTCCCTCTGTCTGCGGAGATGAGCTGGGGGTCCGTCGGGATTTGCGGAGGTCGTGGTGGTAAAGGGAGGGCTGCTCCCTCATCAGTTGAGTTATTTGGCTTGGTTCTGGGAGGGGAGATGGTGGCGGTGGTGGGTGAGGGTGGGGGATGACAGGACAAGTAAAAACAAACAAAGCAGCGGTGTGAAGTGATCCCGGGTGCAGGCCAAAAACAAACGATAAACTCGGGAAAGATCGGTGAAAGGGGGGGGAGGGAAAAAAAAGGGGGGAAGAGTGGGGGAGGTTAAGGTGAAAGAGAGGGGTGGCAAGAGACTGAAAGATGGGAGGGGAGGGTGAGGGAGAGGAACAACCACACCCCCACGCAGGTGTGCGAGCCGCTCGGTCCTGGATGGATCGCCCGCCGTCAGCCCTCACCGCAGCTAATCAGGGTCAAAGGAAGCGAGGAGGAGATTTTCTCACCTCCTCTATAGCTGCGGGGGGAGACAACAGGAGCTGAATCCATGTGCAAACAAGCCCAGAGACACACACACACACACACACACACACAGAAATACAAGCATACCTCGTCCAGGGTTTCAGGGCGCTCACTTCCAAAGAGGAAATATTAGCAGGCTGCTGACAGTTGAAGCCTGCCAAGTTGTTTTGAATAAATGAATAAATACATTTTTCCCGGACGCCACAAACGCGTCACCTTCGAGCCTCTTTGAATTACGGAACATCCAGCAGCGGCCGCCACCGCCGCCCGCTCCTGCGGCGAGGACGCTACTCCTCCAACGAAGCTCCCTCGACAAAGCCGCTCATGAGCTCGATTCCTCCGTTGACACCAACGCCCTCCGAGGCTTCGGGCCCATTCTCCTGTCGGCCAGGAATGCAAACATGCAATTCATCACCGCGGGCCGCTGTGTATCATTAACCCCTCGGCTCTGTCTGCTGCCCCGGCTAATACTGGGGATTTGACCTCTTTTTGTTTTTCATGTTGTTGTTGTTCTTACATCCCTGCTCATGTGTCCGAGTCTCGATTCTTTCAGCATCCCATAACTCACTTTCACGGGGGTTTGTTTCGCGTAACGTAAAGTGTCCCGCTGTGGATCTCACCACATAGTTTCTAAGAATAGTTGGATGGAGCGTTTTACAAAATAAAGGAGATAAAATGATAATGAGGAGCATAAAAGCATAATTAGAGGAGTTTTCTCCTAGTTTTGTAAATAATTAAATCATATCTAAATCGGTAATCATCTTTATAATTTATCATTACACCAAAAGTTTCTCTAATGCTTTACACGTTTTACATAATTCCGACGGTAAATGAATCCAGCATATTTCCGTTGATTTATGCCAACTGTGGTGAGTTTTTCCTCAGTTGGCTCACCCGAGTAAATATGAGACGTATGAAACACACAGGCGACATTGGGGTCACCAGAGGAGAACAAACCCACCAAAGAATGTTTTACATCCAAGTTCAGCTTGTGCTGACGTTGAAAAATGTTTTTTTTACTGTGTGACTAAACAGCCGGCCTGCATCGAGATGAATCGCTGTTCTACTGATGTGGAAACCTGCGCCGGTAACGACCACGATGACTAATTTAATGGTCGGAAACTTTAGACTTATGAGTCGTAAAGCCAAAGTCAAAACAGTGGTGTGGATCTCAGGCGTGCGCGGCGCGTGGGGCTGTGGATGCGAAGTCCACGTCGAGCTTTTTTGATATCTGGTCAGGAACTCATTCGTCTTCATCCCGCTGCATGGATGTCGTCTCTGCTCATGTTTTCTGACTCTGCTTTTCTGTTTTCTGACTCGCGGATGATGAATCGGTGTTTGAATAAGCATTAGTTACAGCTTATTATTGTTTTCATCACCACTAATCTCATTGTCATGACTCAACATTATTCAACCCAGTTGCTCGCAATTTCCCCTAAACGAAGTTAAGAAGAAGAAAATACAACATGAGGGAGCTTTGTTATGAGTCCCTTCACTATTCAACCTGATCTGCGATTATACTGTAGTGTTATCACACGCTTGTTACATCACTACTAGTAAATACTAATTCAACTCACTGCTGACTCGCTCACATTCTCTGCTGCCTCTCACCCAATACAACCTAAACACGTTGCATCACCTCCTATGAAAACGTTTTATTTTTATTTTTTGTTCGATTCAATTTATGAAATTTGCCAGAGTCTGTGCACGTTTTCCTGTGTGATCTTAAGCAACGGCCATCCAAGTTCCACCGGGGTGTTTGGTTACATCTAAACAGACTCAGAGTAAAGGATCTGTGGTAATAAACCCTCTCGCTCCCCAACGCTGACAAATGATGCAGAGCACGAGTCGGCTCTCTTCGCCAATTCAAACAGTTTTGCCAAACTGTATTTGTAAAGTTACGGATGAGGATTTTAAAGATGTGTGTCATTTTGTGTCATTTCATGGCCTCTCTGTTAATAAACTCAAAGTTACCACTTACAGCCCCCCGCCTCCCCCCTTCCCTCCCCCGTCCAACACACATGTGTAAAGACTCCGCTTCGTGACGTCGTAACTCAAGAGCATATCGACAAAACGAAAACCGCAGAACAAATTTTATGTCTGCTCCTTGAGCAGAGTGAGCAGAGTGACAGCAATTAAGAGGTTTGGTTATTTATTGAGCTCAAAAACAGGCCGCGTGTGTTTGTGCGTTGGGGGGGCGTTGGGCCCTGGAAGGAAGCAGCGCGGGAGTTTGCTCTTCTATGCTTAATGTGACCCCCCCCCCCCAAAAAAAAGCAGCTTGTCTCGAGGACGAGTCCCAGAGAGAGCGACGCGCTGACACTGCTGGATTTCTATCTTCACCCCTGGTGGAGCCGAAGTGTCCACAGACACTGTGCTGCACACGCGTCTCCAGCAGCTCCTGCTTGTGTCTCGGAGGAGAACACACGGAGCGTGTTGGACCCATACGTGTGAAGCACCCTGGGGGGTCTTTCAGATGAGTTTAATCAGCTGTCTGTCACCCAGGTGCTGGTTGTTAACGCTCTGATTTCATTTTAAAGGTTAAAACATTGTTTCTTTTCTCCAAAAGGGGAACTGCAGGTATCTTTATTTTTTAATGCTCTGGTCAATCTTGAAAAATACCATCCAAAATATTCTGTATTTATTATTTATTGTACCACTTGTTCTTTTGATTTCTCCTAAATTCACCAAAAGTCAGGAGTAGATAATGCCTCATTTTCATCATCAAGTGTTTTTCATGTAGTTGATTAACCAACTGAGGAAGTTTCACGGTGATATATTTGTTGGTCTCAAAACTATTTTACCGTATTAAAATCTCTTTTTCAGTAGTCCTTGCATACACCAAACTTTCCCTCTTCAATTCCATCTTTACTCCAAAGGTTTCTGTCAATTGGTCTGTTCATTGCTTGATTCATACAATATTTTATTTTAGCTTTTGAAGTTATTTTCACGCATCTAAAATTCCCTCTTTAATGAGGCACATGATGAAGAACATGTTTTGTACGGGAATTTAGGCTTTTGTTTGAGGGTTAGGGTTAGGGTTTCAATCACAGTAACGTTTTTTGACTTTTTTGAATGCATATTACACTTTTACTGCATTGGATTCAAAGACTTTGGACTTCGGTCATCCGCGTGTTTTGCGGTCGTTTGCGCTCAAGTCCGTTACTTTCTTCTCTGATGAATAAAACGACAAACAGGACGAGACAACATGAGAGACACACCCTCCTTTGGATAAATGCGTCGAGCTGTTCGAGCCCCATGACTCCCTCTCTCTCCCGCCGATATATGTGGAGGAGTGGAAACCTAATTATATATATATATATATATATATATATATAGCTCGGCTTCACTCCAGAGCGGACAAATGATTCTCATTGGCACCCGAACACACAAAGCAAAGCGGTTGGGTGGTGGTGGTGGGTGGGGGTGGGTGGTGTCTCTCACTTCAAACAGCCAGCTTCATGATAAACGATTGGCCGAGTTAAAACTTCTCACATTGTGCAATGTCAGACCGAGGGGGCCTTTTGATATCCACTCTCCCCATTTTTCATTCTTTTATTCTCCCGGCGCCAACGGCTTTTTTAAGCTTTCCAGAATTCCTGAATCCCTCAGATTCAGCTCTGCTTTACGCCCCTTGTCATCGGAAACTACCCCCCCCAATGCCGCTCCATGTATCTCCCTGAGCCATCTGTGGCAGCCACTAAGGAGACCGCCGGCAGACACTTAACCGTTAAGTGGACACACACAAAAAGGCTCTCGCTGTAACCCTCCAGCGGGCCAACAGGTGGGCCGCCAGTCGGACTGTTGACCTCCACCGGAAGAGGCGGCTCAGAGGTGAGTCGGTCAGTCCGTTGGAAGGACCAGAATGCTGGCAGGAAGAAGAGGAGGAGGAGGAGAGCGTTTTCCCCACCTGTAGGCCATGTGCTGCGCTACTTGATTTACTGGCGAGCTGGAGGCTCTGAAAGCCGCAGTTACCAGGAAGAAGCTCTATAAATATGAGCAGAGCCCCTCTGAAGCTCCGAACCAGAGGCGCACTTTGCACTCTGCTGTGCCTCAACCGGCTCTGACCAACTTCTCAAATTTACTGGCCTGAAGACGCGCTGCACCGGCCTCCACGTAGTTTATTGGCCTTCCTTATGTGTGTGTGTGTGTGAGCGCTGTTCCTCCCCAATGAAATGCAATGAAAGCAGTGACCGATTGGTCTGATAAAAGGTACAAATAGATACACAAGGAGGCCCTTCGCAGTCCGATAAGGAGGGTGAACAGCAGACACACACACACACACACACAGGCAGAGGAGAGATAAGAGCTGCAACAGAAGCTGCATCACAGAAAACAAGTAATAGAGATAAAAGTGACATAGTGTGATAGAGAACAGGAGGTCTGTTGAAACCCAAATGATGTACTTCCCCCTTCAGGATAGTGCACTTCTTCAGTAGGAGCACTAAACAAACATATCGCAACTGTGTGGTTTTCCAAGAGCCCGCGGTCCGTCACACATTACCACTTTATGACAGTGTTTTTTCCCCGACGCCCGGCTGCAGTGAAGCCTGGAGGAATAACAGCGCTACCGATAACACATAAAAGATATAAATTAACAAAAAGAAAGAACAATCAAATAACATCTGTGCCTTGTACTACTGGAATCATTTAATGTATTGAATAAATACAGAGTAGAAACCTGCATATTTTGATTTGATTGATTGGGTCACTGTTAATTATATGGTTTTAACGTTTATTTGTATGAGATGCTCATTTTATATGTAAAAGCCAAAACGGATTGATGGGAAACTTCAATTCTGCACCGCCGGCTGATAGCAGACCGTGCGGTTAAAAACCAAACCACTAAACGCCCCCCCACACAAACCCCAAAGTACATGATTCCGCTACACACCGTTTGAAGGCTTCTCAGAGTGACAAGTGACACAAGGCAGAAAACAATCTTCAGGGGAGGAGGACGAGGGACTAAAGAGCACCGCTGCTTTTCCATAGGAAATCAAGCTCAAACGATAACACCATGTGGTGACGAACATGGTGGTGACAGTTTGACAACATGCAGCGTTTTAGGCGTTTCTTTGAGTACAGCGCTGAAAAATGTTGATAGATTATTGGACTGTCAGGATTATCCTGTACAAACTCAACGTTAGAGGATTTATTCGACCACCTCTCCTCCCAATGATTCACACCCCGAAATAGATCAAAAAATAAATAAACCCCCAGATAACTTTCATTCAACGCAGAACAGGTTTGTGAAGCGAATTAAAGGGCCTGCATCGGAAGAGGGGGGGCAATTGGAGACATTATTAAAATTCCTGCAACATGTGTGTCCCGTAGACCCCCCAGTTTGGGAGGAAGTGTGACAGACGTCTTGGGCACGCATTCAAAGCTCCGCCATTAATCAGAACCATGCAATTAGGATTATCCTCCATTATTTCATCATTGAACGTGCGCGCGGTCCGTCTCCCTCGCAGCTGCACAGCGTTTGCGCGGCGAGCGTGCCGAGGCCAAGCAGCCACACTTTAGCACATGACTTCAGGATACCGTATCCGGGCAGATTTTGAATCATTCGGATCACATCTGATGTGTCTGTGGACACAGAGGATGTGTTGCTTTCCAGTCCCGACGCTGTGGCGTTGGACCCTGAGTAAGTTCTGTCGCTGTGTGCACGCCTCCACCTGTCTCTCACCCACTCTTACTGTTGTTGCTGTGTGCACCACCTGCACTCTCTGTAGATATGTTTGTATCTCCCCACATGTTTGTGTGTGTGTGTGTGTGTGTGTGTGTGTGTGTGTGTGTGTTCGAGACCACTCACTGTGCCTCTCTTTCTTCCTTTGTTTCCTCACAGCATGTGATTGCCATCCCGTGGGCGCTGCTGGCAAAACCTGTAACCAAACCACAGGACAATGTCCCTGTAAAGACGGCGTGACCGGTATCACGTGCAACCGCTGCGCTAAAGGCTACCAGCAGAGCCGCTCGCCCATTGCCCCCTGCATAAGTACGTGGAACCCAATCTTTACCATGTCTGCCATCACCGTAGGACATCGTTTGCACACATTTGACGGGGGGGAAGAGGGGAGGGAGGGACACACCAGACTGGTGATGACACACATACACACACACACACACGTGCATATTCAAGAGGCACAGACTGCGAGCTCTAAAACAAACACTGCTCGAAGGCTCTTTTCTCTGGACCAGCGCTTGGTGCCACAGCTTAAATAAACACACTGTTAAAGCCGAGCCTCAAGGTCACGGTCCCGCCTCGTCTCGGCCTCCGTGAATTTCGAGCCGTTAACACACCCCCGTTAACTCTCCAAAGTGCCCCGGAGGGTCACATTTCAAAATCCATCGTGCCAGTTCTTGGAGATTTTAATTGCTGCTCTCGCCGTTTTAATTAGATACTCTGAATTAAGTGCTTACCGGAGATAAACAGGGATCTGAAACAGGAATAAGTGTTTGGGAAGTGAGAAACAAGTGATCCTGGCGAGATGGAAATAAAGTCCCTCGGTTAGGCCTACACGCGGGTCAGTTATGAGAGGGAGGCTCATTATTTTAAACTGGCACACGGCACGGCTGAATGCTGAGGGAAGATCTCTGATCACCAACAACATCAGCGGAGGGACCTGTGGGCTCCCTGAGGGCTCCCTGAGGCGCCATTGTTTCTGGAAGCAATTGTTATTTGACCAGTTCGTCACGGTCGAGGGCCTTGTTCTGTCCAAAAGTCAAACAAACACGCAAGTCCACAGATCGTGATTCATGGCGACGTAAGCGCTGTCCCAAAGTAGCAGGCAGGAGATCTGATTTCACTCAATAAAAAAGACTTGATGTGTCACCTTCACCCTGCTCAATCCACCACTGTTGTGCACCTCTTTCTCCTTTGCATGCTCTGATACCTCTCTGCAGGTTTCACTCTTATCTGATGGTTTAGCCCCATAAAACCTGGAGACACAGCGAGTGTCGCAGGTGCACACACGCATGGTTTCGCTGTGGCCCGTTAGCAGAGTTACTGTTAACACATATTGTATATCATCAGTCTGCTAATTATAAGACCAAGGAAAGATATATATATAAATGATTAAATGATTGTTCAAAGAGAGAGTTTGAGTATCAGGGACCATGTTTAACAGCTGCAATATAAGTATACAAACGCTCACACAACCAGTGCAGTTTAGCACAACCCTCATTTAGGCAGTTCAATGCTCAGTACCTCCCAAAGACGTGGATTTACCTCAAAATTGTACTATTAGAGCCACTTGCACCTATACTGTCTTAAGCCCGGGTATACGCGCTGCAGTTTCCTGCGAGTCCAGACAAGTCTGAAAGGTTTAACTACGTTTTTCTGTTTTCAGCTTCTCGGCCCACAAGGGAGGCCAGCGAGAAACGATTTACTTCAAGAAGGTTACACGCGTTGAGCATTAAATATATACTTGAGTAAGAGTCATTTGAAAGTATTTTTTATCTCTGAATTATTCTTCATTTGGATTTCCTTTAATCGTTCCTCATCAAATGAGCACATTTGGCCCACAGTCCCAAACATGCGTGCACACAAAGACAAACACGCACGTATGAAATGATCAATAATGAATGTCAATTTTATGTTTTCTCCTGGAGTAGAGATTCCAGTTGCACCTCCTACAACCCCATCCAGCAGCACCGAGGAACCGTCAGGTGAGTACAGATGAGAATCCAACATTTACTTTGAACTCGTATGTATCCGTATGCCGCTGAGCGTCCACAAACGCCCACCTGGCATGGAGGTAGAGATGTGGAAGTATGTACGGGTTTCCCAACAGTTTCACTTCCCCGGACTGAAAGAGGATGAATATGATCCCACTCGCCATCCCCCTCCTTAATAAAGGGTTCATCAATGTTACATCCATCAGCAGCTTCCTTGGGATGTGCCTCCTTTAATCTTTCACTGAATCAGTCTAACTGCGGCACAGTGGGAGTTCAATGTGACGTGGTAGAAATTGTAGCACAAAAACTGGCATCTTGTGCCTCATAAACATTAACGCACATAACTCTTCAGGAAAATTTCCTCCAGCTCACGGCATGTTTGCTCCTTATCTCGCCCGTGGAGCTGCAGGGGGACCAGGTATACATATACTGAGTGTGTGTGTAAAAAGCTCCTGCAGCACTGTTTCTTGGACAGTTTTCATTGACAGTGCCGTTGGGAAGCCATCGGTCCCCCAGCCGCCCTCCATCTCCTTTCTTTTCTCTTTCAGTCTCTTCTTCGCTCTCCTCCATCTTGTTCGTCTCCTTGTGTTTCACGCGTTGTCTTCATATGACACTGTGGGTGGTGCCGAGCGGTATCCGGAGTTTCTCCGGGCGGCCTCGTTGAGGTTCTATCCGCTCTTGTGCTGTAGGAAAGTTTCCCTCACCTCAGCAAATAAGTGGGAGAAGGACACATTACTTCATCAATAAGAGCAAATGCAAAGTTGTTCAGCATTTCAACGTCGAAAAACTAAATATTGATTGTGCATATTTGTTGGGGTTTTTGTATGGAATGTTGTATGGAAACTTGTCCATGCAATTCAATTATATCATGTGAAATCTTTGCCCCTTGGATACATCCTGGTTCGGGGCTAAAGGTCCTCTTGTGCTCTTATTGATAAAAGCATGTGATTCAATTATTGTAAACACAACCTGAAAGAGACTGTAATGTATATGAGCGTGTAGCTAAAGGGATAATCTAATCTAAACCCTCTCATACGTACAGATACGTATGGCAGCAAGGACAACATGCATCTGCTCGGCTACATGGCAAAAAGCAAAAACGGAAGGAAGAATGGTTAAAAAAAGAGAGGATGCATTTGAGTCAGCGGTGTTCTGGTAATGTGACGTATAAGAATCTACCAGCATGTAATAAGAAGCAGCAATACT